GTGTCTAGGAGTAAGCCCAATTATCAAGAAAATCAATAGGCTGGATTTGGGCTGGGTTGGCTTACAATTTAATGGCCCAGACGGATTTACAAAGGGCCCAGACTTCAGGTGACAGAGGATGAGATGGATTCTGTTATTTTGGGTTTGTTTTAAAAGAGGATAAGATAGGTTTTTGGGTAGTTATCTTGTTTTGTTGGAGATAAGATTAAATAAAATTATCAGATAACTACCAAGGTAACTGCCAGACGTGCAACTCCACTACCAGATCATGGAGGAACAGTACCGAAAATCATGGAGGAGGTTCCCAGCATCGCAGAAGACAAAAACAGAAGGAGGAAATCAGTTCCAGACGGCCTGCCCTACACACACACTGCCCAGAGCATGTTTTTTCAATTTCCAGACTGCATTTTCCAGATTTCAGCAATAGATTCCAGTTCAGTTTTCCAGATCTACTCTTGTTCATAAACTTAGTTTAGGTTTGTTCATCTTTGTTCACAATTTCTTCAGCAAATTCCAGTTTAGATTAATTTTTAAGTATTTGGAAGCCACTTAGCCTTCAAAACAGGTCTGCCCTTTTGATTCGGTTAGTTCTTCTTCTTTTTATGGAGTTAGTTATGTTTTTCGTTCATGTAATTAGGTTGAACGTTTTCTACTTTTGTTCTTTTGTTTCTGCACAATATCCAGACATGCATGTTACTTGATTTCAATTTCCAGATTTAATGTTATAAGTTTCCAGACTTTAATTCTTTTGTAGTTTCTCTTTCAGCTTTAATTATCAAGTAGTTTAGTTATTTTATTTTAAGTTTGCAAGTAATTAAATTTAATTGTTATGGATTGCGTAGTTGATATCATTGTTTGTTCTTTTACTTTTTTTGTTGTTTGCGAATTTAATCTTTATGGCATGTTATTTTCTGTTATTTACTTCATGTTAATTTAATTGCCTTAGGATATTGCATTTATTTTAGGATTTGTAGCTTTTATTACACTTGTTTGGTTGTGAAGTCCTTGGAGGTTTCCAAGGCAATTAGTAATCCATTTTGCAGAACACCACCCTCTGTTTTGCAACATCGTCTGGGGCGCAATTTATTTCACAGACGTTCTTTCCAGCCATCCTTTTGGAGGTCGACCGCTGGAAAGGAGAAGGGTCGTCTGGAAAATCCTATTTTCTTGTTTTTCAGACAAAGCAAGTGGCACGCCTAACATCCAACTCACGTGGTAAAGGCCGGCTGAGGATTTTTTGAGGAAACAGCTGGTTTGGTATCTCCAACAACAATTGCCGCAGACAAGAAGCATAAAGGGAGCGTCTTCTCTCGCATATGTTTCCCTGAGGAAGAGGCCAATAAGGGATGCAAGCTGTCCTCTGAACCTGCATCTTCTTCTGCTCATGACAAGGCAGCTTCCAATTGTTACTACAATGAACATAAGTCATCATCCTCTGCTGCTGTTGCCAAGGCTGTTTCCACCGGTGTAAAGAAGAGCAGTAGCAGTGCGATAGATTATGAGTCTAGCGACGATGAGCGGCATTTCAAGAGGAAGCCTTCAAGTTATGAATCATCGCTTCCACCAATGGCTGAGAGGGAAGATGAGCCACGGCACTCAAAGTGGTTTAGAGAATGAGAACGGAGCGGCTATAGTAAACACAGATAGAATGTAGAATGCTGGCTTTGGTAGTGTAGCTGCACTGCTTGCTTCTGCTTTTTCCTTTTCATTTTTTTTTTTGGCTGCTGCTGCGTTTGCATCCTTGGTGCAGATGAAAAATTGTTGGCATATACACAAGAAACCCACTGATTTTTTGCAGTAATGTCAGGTTTTTTTACTGCCCCTGTTCAAGTAATCTTCTTGGGTTTGTTTGTTAATCACACTAGTTGGGTTTCACTTCTTTTGTTTTTTTGGTGAACTCTATGTTATGAAATTTGACATGATCTACTTGGATTAAGGGTAATTGGATCTTGATTTAGCTTTGGATATGATTCATTAACCTCTTGATTTTCTGTTGCAAATGATGTACTGTTAAATTCAGTTCACTTGATTTTGTACAGTTTCCATTATAATCTGATTGGTGTTTGTTTTTTATGTTATTGAATTTTTATGATGATGGGTTGCTTACTTGAGTAAATGGGTATGGGAAAATTTTGTGATGCAAAATGATAGCTCATGTGATATATAGTTCAATTTTTTTCGGGTTAAGCCGAAGAAGGAAGAGCTAGGCAAGAATGATCAATTGCAGCGGTAGAATCAACGGAGATGATGAATTGCAGCAGCATAATGGGGTTAAAGTAGTGGGTGTTGGGGATTAAGCCGCTGGTGTGGGATTGCATTTGAAAAATTGGAGGAATTGGAGGAATCGATGGAGATGGAGATGATTGCAGAAGAAATGAAAAAAAGCAAGGGTTACCATCGACGGAGAAGATGAATTGCAGTGGAATCGGAGGATTCGAAGTAGTTGATGGAGATGAGAGGCGATGGAGAAGGAATCGGAGATAGAGATGGAGATGATTACAGAAGAGGCAAAGGCAAAGGGGAAGGGCTGGGATTAAGAGAACGACGCCGTTTTAGGTTGGGACTTCAAATTTTTTTGGAAGGTAGGACTGATGGCCACTTTACCGATATATATATATATATTATAATTAGTCACATGAATTGGGTGTTTGTTTATATATATATTATAATTAATTTTTGACTTCCTTTTTTGAGTTTTCTTTTCAATTTCTTCTTGAGTTTTGTATTTTTGCATGTATCACTTAAAACAAAAATAAAAATATATTAATTAAAAAAATTCATATTTTTATATTTTGTGTTTATTTTGATATTTTATAAATTTTTATGATATTTGATTAATTTTGTGATATATATATTTT